TGATTCTCAAGCATATAGTCGCAGCGGAATTTTTTGTCTCTCTCACTGCAATTTGCTAAAAAAAAAAAACTTATCAACTTTAGCTTAAACAAATGAGGCATTTTTCGCCGTGTGTGCCACTTGCATTTACCGCATTCTTTTAAAAAAAACTGGGCCTGAGAAATCTTTTGCATTTATAAGGATTGTCTTGTATTTTATATTTTTTTTTCGAATTTTGCAGAACTTCGGCATGACATCGATGCGGGTCGGTGGTCGCGAATTATTGACCGTTTTGATCACCTCTTTTTCACAATCAAGTAAGCATTTAAGAATTATCGCTTGCACACTATCTTGTTAAAGTTTTTTAATTATCGCTTGCACGCTATCTGTTTTTTTACTTTTTTAAGTTTTTTTTTTAATTTTCGATCTTCATTTACGTCCTTTACGTTCTCATGCTTTATTTATACTCTCAGTAATTTTGTTTCAGAGCATTCTCTGAAGGCGAACCATGGCGTCTTCGTGCTCAACTTGTCTCAGTTCTAAATTCAGGTTTTCTCACGTTTTTTTAATCAACATGTGCTGATTAGAGCACTTTTTTGTCCGATTGCCATGAGATTGCTCTGCTTTTCCGTGGTTTCTTGGCCAGAGCTGCATCACTTGCGTTCATCCTATTGATGCTTTCCCTGCGGAAGACCGTTTCCCTGCTTTGCTTTATGTTGTTGGTGAAAAGGAGTTTGTATTGCATTCCGGCTAATGCTTGCTCTCTGATTTTTTTTTATCCCAGCTGAAGTTGTTTTTTGGAATTATCAGATTTTCCCTGAAACCTTGATTCAGGTTTGAAGCAGACGTTGGATAGTGTTGAGGAGCTGTTGCCGATGCTCACCAGTGAGGCCGAAGCGGAGATAGCGCAAGATTTGAATACAGAACGAGAAATGCATGTCCGGGCGCTGCTCATGTACATCTATTTGCTCTGTCGGCTTGCCGTTCTTTTTGAAAAAGAATGCGCTAATCGGTAATTACAGTTTATCATTTGAAACTTTATTAGTTGTAATTTTTATCGTAGCATAATGTTTTGCTCAATAACTGAAAGGTATATTAACAACAGATGAAATAAGAAGAATCAAGAAGGATGGTAGAAGATGAGAATTATAAAATTTTTAAATTAATGGAATTATTTTAGTGGTAAGAAGTGTTTCGACCCACTAAGTTGTGTACATTTCTTACCGTTACTACA